GAGGAATTAGAAACTAAAATAATTTAAATTATGGCTCTCTCCCCATACCACTTCTCTCTGCACATGTACTCTATGAAGGGAATAAAAAACCTTTCAATTTCTAAGTACCCGTGTGGCCTACTGAACCTTAAAAACAATCTGTACTTGGTGTCTGCTAATAGACTATTTTTATTTCCACTGCATGCTCCCAACTACCCCAGGTCTTTAAAGAAAACTAAATCTGGAGAAATGACTGTCCTAAAAACAGCTTTTGACACCCCCCCCACACACACACCCGCCCACCCTGTACTTCCCAAAGCCCTGTTCTGGTTCGCCAGGCTTCTGGAATGGTCAACAGTCGTCACACTTCATCGGTGGCCATTGTCCACTGGGAAAGGTAGGAGGCTCCCAATCCATCCTTCAGTGAAAGAGCAAATAGTGGAGCCTGTGGCTTCTTGGACATCAAAGTTGCACAAACAAGGCCTGGCAGACCCTGCCTCTCCGCCTCCATACCCTGCCACTGCCATCTGAAGGAGTTTCTCCAAGCGGGTCACGACTTTCAGCTTGTCATCCCACACATCAAAGTCTTCACCACACACGAACTGGGTGCATGGGTTCGAATCAAGTCGCTCGACAGCGGATACTCAGACATTGTGTGTAGCTTTAATCCTGTGTTTTCCCAAGTAATTAAGCCTTCTTGCTTATGAACTTGTGACTAAGTAAAGCATCACTGAGAGGTTGTAACATCAAAGTGCTGTCCACCGTCTGTCCATGTTTGGTAAAATTGGATTTCTTTTCCTTCTCAAAGAAAGACTAATTGAATTTCACTGAAAGCTCCATATATTTGGACTAGCTAGTGAAGGCTATTTGAAGCCGAAGTGATCATCCCAGGACTGTGTGACTTAGCCTTTAGTTTGGTTGGGTCAGAATGGGGCACCCAGATTCAAGCTAAACAAGTGCCTTGTGGCAGGAGGCTCATCAAGGGCTCAGAAACCAGTTACTATCCAAGCTGCTACTAGGGCTGAGCAAGGAATGGTAATGGTAGAGTGTTAGTAAGTCTTGACTTTTGAGGACAATGGCCATTTTATTACTCAAGTCCTTGATATCAAACAATCAAACTACCCTGTGTGTATATTCATGCACACACGTATGTGTGCACAAATGTGCCATGTACGAGTGGGCACATGTGTGTGGAAGCTAGAGGCTGCTGTTGGCTGTCTTCAATGCTCTCTACCTTATTTTTTGAAATAGGACCACTCATTGAGCTTGGTAGGGCAGGCCAGGCAAGGCCCTGCGACCTGCCCATTTTTGCCTTACCAGGGCTAGGATTAAAGATGGGGAGGGGAGTGTAACACTGTCCTGCCTAGCTTTTTATGTGGGTCTTCTTATACAGCCAGACTTCACAAGCCAAACTATTGTCCCACTCCCTCAAGTAATGTTTTTTTAGGACAAAGTTTGTGATGCCTTACTCCTTGAGTCTTCATGCTGCCCAGCACATCAGCACATGACACATCAGCATGTGACACATCATGGTTACATTTTGCTAGACATGAAATATAAAAAGAACTTCAGAACAAAGTTTTTCTCTCCAGAAAAACAAGCCTCTGAATTATTATTTGGCTTCACTAGTTACCTAACTTACAGTCAGTACACCACACTCCCATTCACATAAAATTAGAACTCACTTAAGTGTGACTCAAGGACTAATCACGAGATAGAAGAAATTCAGGAGACTGCTACATTATCAATATTTTTACACAAACAACCTACTTTTGGAAAAGAAAACCTCTGGTTCAATACCTACATACAATTATCTTTTCTTTTAAAAATATTGCTTTGATCTCGATCCAGTTTTAAGTCGCATACACACACACACATATTTGACTGAATATATATGTATTTGAGTGAATATATATGTATTTAAGTCACTTGGAACTCTTTTTATAAATAAAGGAGTAAATTAAGCTTCTGTGCATACTTGTAAAATTTACAGTGATATCACTGCATTTCCCATTCAAAACTAATAAAATAAATACATTCAGAAATCTCAACTGGTGAGGAGTTAAGCTCCTTTAAGATCTGAGGCGATTATGTTCTAGATCCCTATGGACTTAACACGTTAAGCTGATGCCTGAGGCTAAACTGTGTTATTGGTCCACAGGCTACAAACATCTAAAGGAAGCAGAAGCCCTCTGCTGTCAGCCTTGAATGAAGGGGCAGGGCCTCTCTACTTTCCATTCATATCTTTCTTCCATATGGCCAGAGATCTATTACTGATGCTATTTAAAGTACCTAACAGAAGTAGGGACCTCAAACTTTTGTAATATTAATAAATAAACCCAACCAGACAAGTGTCCCATTTTGATAATGAAAGGAAGAGGAGGACACAGAGCGGATGCTTAAAAACCAAGTAGTTGTGGCCAGCTGGTTCAAGGGGTAAAGTACTTGCTGGGCAAACATGAGGCCTGGGTATGAATCTCAGCACCCATGTAACAGCTAGGTATGGCACTGTGCCGATAACTCCAGTGCTGGAGGTAAGCAGAGCCAGGCAGAGCCAGGGGCTTGTTAGCTAGTCAGTCAAAGCAGCAAGTTCAGTGAGGGACGACATCTCAAAAAATACAATGAAGAGTGATATAGAAAGATACCACACATTGACTTCTAGTCTCTGTTAAGTACGCAAATCAACAAGCACACCTACATACATGTGACTATTAACCGTGTACACAACCTTCTCACCTATCACAGTTAAAATGCTGGTAATTAGGCTGGGCAAGGTGGCATATACTTAAATCCCAGTACTCAGGAGGCTAAGGCAGGAGGATCAGGAGTTCAGAGTTAGCCTGAGCTACATGAGACCCTATCTCAACCCCTACTTCCAAAGAAGACCTAGGCTCAATTTCCAGCATCAGTTAAAAAACAAAAAACAACAGAAAAGGAGAGTTCAGGGTTATGCCCAATGTGTAATACACATATATTTGTATGAAAAAATCTTTAAAAAGATAAAACATACAACAAAACAAAACCGCCAGGCGGTGGTGGCGCACACCTTTAATCCCAGCACTTGGGAGGCAGAGGCAGGTGGATTTCTGAGTTTGAGGCTAGCCTGGTCTACAGAGTGAGTTCCAGGACAGCCAAGGCTATGCAGAGAAATCCTGTCTTGAAAAACCAAAAAAATAAAAAAATAAAAAATAAATAAAAAATAAATAAATAAAAACAAAACAAAACCAACTAGTAATATATTGTCTGAGGGACCAAAGAAGCCAACACTCTCACAGGCATCACAGATTTGCTAAGACCCCTGGGTAAGGACAGAGCAACCAGTTAAAGCAACACAGCACTGAGCTCAGACAACACTGTCCTCAAAAGCACATCTCCAAGCTTACTGTTCATTGATTAAGAGTGTTCTTAAGAAGAGTGCTATTTCCTATTTAGTCAGCAAATACCACACACAGAAGAAATACACCATTTGCTTCTTCACCACTGGCTCTTCCCCACATGCAAATTGGGGAAGCCAATGGGGAGGTATGTAACAATGAGTATGGTACTCCCCATTTGTAACTGTAGCAGACACGACTCTTTTTTTTTTTTTTTTTTGAGACAAAGTTTTTCTGTATAGCCCCGGCTGTTCTGGAACTCACTCTGTAGAGCAGGCTGGCCTCGAACTCAGAAATCTGCCTGCCTCTGCCTCTCAAGTGCTGGGATTTAAGGCCACCACTTAGTGCACCACCACTGCCCAGCACAGACACGACTCTTACTTGACTCATGAGAAACAGTGAAACTCATTCTGCTTCTAGACCCTTCACTCCTCTGCCTCACACCCTGCACCAAATCACTGACTGACCTATCTCATTCTCTCTCTCTCTCTCCTCTCCTGTCCACTCCTTTCTTCTAGCATTTTTTGGAGACACCTTTTTATTCCCTTTACTTATTTACTTGCACTTCTTTCCATTAAATTGCATTTCTTTACATTAAATTATGAGCTCCCCAAGGTCTGATTCTTCAAAGACTAGCACAAGGTCCAAGAACACATGTTTACTAAATGTATGGGAAAATAATTTCTCTTGAAGAGAAATAGGTACCCATGGAGTCCTGAAATTCAATGAAGGGTCAGAACCACAACTGTATTCTCTCCAAAGCAAAGTATACATAGTGTTTCTTCTTTTTTCCTTTTGCTTTATAATGCTACAGATTGAATTCAGGGCCTCAAGCATGCCAGGAAAGCACTACTGAAGTACATCACCAGCACGTACCTATTACCTTTAAAAGATAAAGGCTTGGAGCTGAAGATTGCAAATAAGGAACAGAGTGACTGGGACCAAGTTCATGATAAAAGTAAAGAGAGACCTATCTCAAGGAGAGCTACAGGTTCAGGTGATCTGAAGCAGACTGCCTCCTTAAAAATCCCAGTTTAGTGGCTTTCCTCCACATTTCAGATTCTTCCAAAGTGGTCAGAACTAGCAGATAAGAGCTTTAAAGATCTGCTTGAGGGGAGAAAATTGGTTCTTCCAATTATCAATTTGAGTAGCTGATACTAAAGGATCCAATACTCCTCTGAAAGCATCCCTTTAAAAGCAGGCATGCCTCACTGGTACAGTGCTGCCTTGCATGCCTGACGCCCTAGGTTCAATTCTCAGTAATGCATGAAAAAGTCTAAAAACATTTTTTTGGCCGGGCAGTGGTGGTGCATGCCTTTAATCCCAGCACTTGGGAGGCAGAGGCAAGCAGACCTCTGAGTTCAAGGGCAGCCTGGTCTACAGAGTGAGTTCTAGGACAGCCAGGGTTACACAGAGAAACCCTGTCTCAAAAAACAAAGACAAAAACAAAACAAACAAACAAAAGAACCAAAACATTATTTTGTTGTTGTAGAATTTCTATCATACAATTACAACTAGAGTGACTATATACTTTGTCCCATCACACTTCTAGAGACCCTGGGATCTGAAACCACATGTGGTTTTCTCTCCACATCCACTATGCAGGCCCAACATCTTGGATGGCTCTGGATAGAAGGAGATTCTTACCTCTCATTGTGGCTGATGGCTGCCACCATCAGTGCTGTCCAGCCAAGTTTGTGCCTTGCGTTGACATCTGCACCTTCTGATAACAGCCTGACAAGAGACAGAAGATATTTTCAGTGTGTGGATTATAATGGACAAGAGTACATTGTACAATGCACTAGAAAAAATACAGGGCATATACAAGTGCAAAGCCAGGCTGGACAACATAGTGAGGACATACTTCAACAGATAAACACAACTATGAAGGCTGGACGAGTCTGGAAACAGAGACTTTTGAGTACTAATCCCCAAATCACAACTACTGGCCACGCTCCTCACCTGAGGCTTCCCTTGCCCTTCTCCTTCCCAGATCCCCACTGTCATCCTCCCAGGCCATCTGAAAAGAACTTTGCCTTCTATATCTTAGTGATACTATGACATTCCTACTTCCCTGGTCCCTTTGCAACCTAAAAGTCTGCCCTCAGGCCATATGATGCAAACCTGGTGGGCATATCCTCTCCCTTAAAAGACCTCTAACAGGCCTAGTCTTGTCTACATAGTTCCTTGTTTACAAAAGGAACATTGCTCAACTGTATTTATTTTATCATGGCTATTTGGAAAATACAAATCCTTCAACCCAAAGAAAGTGGAAAGAACTTTGGAAATGCTAAGTTAGTTCCCACTAGAGCCCATGCAGAACGATTGGGACCTATATTCCAGATGCTGACTATATAGGAGTTCAGTGACTGTCAAGCAAACCAACAATTCCGAGGTTTAAAAAAGCACATCACTATAAATCCTGGGTCCTGGTCCATATAACACAAGGAAGACGACAACAGGCTGAACAAAGCCATGTGTTACTTAGCACCTCGCAGATCAAGGACTACCCTATTGGAAATTCAAGTTCCTGAGTTTATTTACTCTTCATAAACTTAAGGAGCAGATAGTAATCTCTTCTAGTGGATGAGGAAACAGGCTTAACAAGGGAAAGTGACTTGTGAAGGGGTCTCACAGCAGGTTGACAGCGATTCTACAGATGGACTCTCCATCTTATCAGCCTACCTCTAGACAGTACCTCTCTTCATATAACACAAAAGGAACAGATGGAAACTGATGTCAGCCAGCCAATGGCATGGGCTTGTGCTAGATTCTATATGTGGGCAAGAAGACATGGGGTCTGCTCTAAAAGGAGGACTCATGACAGCAGGATATCAAGGACCATGGTGCCAGAAATAGCAGACAAAGTCAAGAATTCAATTCAGCCAGACATGGTGGCTCCATCCTATAATCCTCAGAACCAGGCAGGATGAGAACCATGAGTTCAAGGTCAGCTGGACCACACAATGAATTCTAGGCCAGCCTGGAATATAGCAAGACCTTGTCTAAACATGCATGCATGCATCCCTACAAAACATGGTCCATCTACTCGGCAGATGTCCATATGAGGAAAAGGCAAAGGATTTTCTCCATCTTGTCCTGATCTTTTTTTGTTGTTGTTTTTTCTAGACAGGGTTTCTCTGTGTAGCCCTGGCTGTCCTGGAACTCACTCTGTAGACCAGGCTGGCCTTGAACTCAGAGGTCTGCTTGCCTCTGCCTCCCAAGTGCTGGGATTAAAGGCGTGTGCCACCAATGCCCGGCTTTGTCCTGATCTTCTATCCTATCTAGACTGAAGCTTCTTCCTTCAGAATTACAGAAAGAACCAGAACTTCATCTACTATTCTACTTCAGATTCATCTATTTCAGAGCCAAATACTTCTATGATACCACATAGTTTGTGAAAAGATTTTTCTCTATAGGAAATGTATACCTAGGGTTCTTATCTTTTTTAACTTCCACGGCCATGAAAGGGAGACAACAGGAACAGGGGACCAGAATAATTTATCATACATATTCTTCCCTACCCTCTCCTAGGGATACCCAGCTAGCCACCAAAAACAATGTTCAAAGGACATCCTCTCCATGTTTCCTGGGACCTATGAAACCATTTCCTAGGGAATGGAACTTGTGTGGGTCACAGAGCATGTATATATGTGGTGTGAACAGGGTCAGTATCCTTAGGATAATCTTGTTCTATTGACCTTTATATCAGCAGGACAGGGGGCTCTGTGCATGCCTTGTCTTGGAACACTTGGCAATATAAGACTTTTTGTTTTGAAACAAAGTTTACTATGTTGACAACATCAGCCTTGAACTTATTAAGCAGCCCAAGCTGGCCTTGACTCATGAGCCTCCTGTATTAGCAACCCCCTAGATGCTGGGATTACAGATCTAAGGAGTCCAAAGGATATATTACTGTTTTGAACTTGTGATAATGAACAACTTTGAACTACTTTTATGGGGCTGTCTTTTCTGCAAAGCTTTTTGTGGGTTAGTTTTAAGGAAAAAAACTCTCGTTAGGCCAGCTCAACATAGTAGTGCATACCATTCTTTGGGAGGCAGAGACACTAGAATTGTTGCAAGTTCAAGGCCAGACTGAAATATACAATAAAATCTTGTCTCAATAACAACAGAAGTCAGAAGTCCTGTGTCTAGTCTAGTGCAAAAAGCTCTACACTTACGATCCTAACACCCTAAGCAGTCACATCCCCTCACTGAGCTTCAGTGAGGTCAGTGAGGACTGCACTCTCTGCCACTTCCATACACATACATACATTTCAGGGGTCAGCCACAGGAGGGGGAGAACGGTGGTTTTCTTCAGGGAGACCAGCTCTCAAGCCCAGCTCCTGACTGAGTATCACTCTTTGCAGCCTCTTGGGGCCAGAGTGTAATGGAAGAGAGCAAGGATCCAGGCTCTGTGGCCACTTGCTGTGAAGGAGAGGATGCTAATCCCTCTCATGCACGGTGCTTGTCAGTACTGAGAGACATACATACCTGTGAGGCTCTCTGTAAAGAGTGATGCATCTGGCAAACTGAGGAAGAACCAGAGCTAACCTCACCAGCATCACAACAATCCCAACCACAATTTATCCACTTGTAGTACTGAGTTGGGGATAGGGAGGGCACTGTGTCGCCTCTGCTTTCCCTCAGTGCACAGCACCCCCCCTCCCGCCAAAGTTAAGACTTCACAGACCAATCTCCCCATTTCATTTTGTTGCTTTTTGTTAAGCAAATGCCCAGCAGGCACTAATTTCAAAGTCTAGAGCCAGCTGTTGTGGGGTGGGGCGGTGACTGCCTGCTGAGAGTGGTTGAAAGGGCCTCTGAGGCCAGAGAAAGCCACCCTTGCTCCCCGTGGTGATTTTCACCAGTGGACAAAATGCGGCAAGTGAATTAATCTCTTTTAAAAAGAGCAATGCTTGTGACAGAGCACGGTGTCTCCGAAAAGGTTAGGATTCCATCATCCCTGAGATGATGAGTAGAATGCTTAATGCAGGCTGCCAGCCAGGGCCAAGCAGCCTGTGCTGCGCTGGGGAGAGCGGGTGGGCACAGCAGGCTTTCCTGGGCTCAGACTTGTGGCCAGCTCTCCCTAATGAACTAACTCTCCTGCTTGGCAGGCCACTGGTGGGTGATACTAACTGGAGATGGCTCAGAGTAGCAGACAGGAGAACACAGCAGACAGCTAGAATTGAATCCCAGTTCTTGCACAGCTCCCAGGGTATACAAGGCAGAAAGATCTCAGTCCAAACACATTGGCTGCCAGTCACTTACTGAGGGATGGCCCATGGATAAATGTATGACTTGGATTTTCTCTGTTCCCTCCCACAACAGCTCCTGCTCTCTGTGTTAGTGAAAGGACAGGATCTCGGTATGGTGGTGCATGCAGGCTGGGGCAGAAGGATCACCATGAATCAAGGTCAATCAGAACTATGTAACAGAACCTTGTCTCCCAGAAGATAGGGGTGTCAAGAGATAATAAGTCAAATAAGTCAAGACGGCTAAGACACTTGGTATATATTAAAGCACTGTGAAAATGGCAGTGCTTATGCCATTAGCATCACTGGCCATTTTATACTAGTGATTGGAGTAGAAGACAGGGGAAAATGGCTCAGTGGGTAAGGGTCCCTTGCCACCACACCTGAGGTCCTGAGTAAATCAGGATGGCATAAAAAAAGTAACAATTACCCAAATGTATTTGTGGATAGAAAATAAATTACCACTGGGCAGTGGTGGCTCATGCTTGACAGGCAAAGGCAGGCAGATCTCTGAGCTCAAGGCAGGTCTCAGAGCCAGTTCTAGGATAGCCAAGACTACACAGAGAAACTCTGTCTTGAAAAGCAATCAAATAAACAAACAAAAAGAAAATAAACTGCCTAAAATCCCCAGATGAGGGAGGACAGTCAGTAGCAGAGCCTACAAGCAAAGAAGGAAAAAAAAAAGTCTCCTCTAAGTAACCAGGGATGTTGAGAGGCCAGCAAGCCAAAGGCCAAGAGTGGTGAGAGGGGGAGGGCAGAGGCCACTCGGCTCTCAGCCCTTCCTTGCAGTTTTCACAACAGTCATCACAGCAGTGCTCATTTTTTTCTGAACCATTTTCAAGTTTCATCCTCTAAGGTTTCCCTAAAATGGCCGATTTCCTTCCCAGTCCCTAGTGCTAATCTGTATTAAAACAGTTAACATTTGGCTGTTTTGTCTAACTTCCTCAGTCACCAGTATCTTCCAGAAATGACCTGTTCTCATCTGCCCCACCTCCTACCCAGTTCCTGTCCTGGCAATTGGCACATGGGAGTTCTCAGGATGGAGTCTCTATAACACTTGCAAACACCAATCTGCCACCAATACTTCTCTGTCTTGTGGCAAACCTGTGGCAACAGTCTTTTTCAAAGTACTTAAGCTTCTATGTATAAATATGTTCAAGGCATCTCAGACTCAGGAGTGGGGACATGGCCTGGAGGGCTGATAGTCATGTGTTCTAATCATAGCTGTCAGGTACTTGATGTATTGCTTAGGATAAATCTACCTCTGTGGGCCTTATTTTTCTCTGCAGTCCCTATTACTTCTAAAACGTTATCGTGTTAAATATGTGTAGCATCTGGAGCTGGAGAGAGGGCTCAGCTGTTAAGAGCATGAGCTATCCTTGCAGAGGATCTGGGTTTGGTTCCCAAACCCAGAACCTATGTAGTGACTCCCAACCACCTGTTAACTCCAGTTCTAGGGGATTCAATGTCTTCTGACTTCCA